TCCTGACTTCCAGGACAAGTGTGTGTGTCTTGCTTTCCGACCGCCCCTCGCGGTCGCCTGTCCCTCAATAGAATTCTTGGTGACTCGGATACTTTTGATATCATTCGCCTTATGCGTTTTTGTTCTCTTATTGGCATCCTTGGTGATATTTTGCGCCCTCTGATTATTCCGCACATTTGATGGTGCTACATAGCCTTCCCGGTTTGGTGCCTTCTTTTGATAATTACTTACTTACTTACTTACTACTGCATAATCTTAAATAGCTTAATGATCTATAACACAAAAAAGGCCACTAAAACCAGAGCTGGGCGACAACACGTCCACCCGTCAGGAAGCTCAAAAACTAGTGACGGCTCAGGCAGAGCAGGGCCGCTCAACACACTATTTCTACATCTGCAAGTCAACCAACTCTTTTTCCTTCAAATCTCTCAAGTTTATATCAAACCATTTATCAATCTATTAGGCCTAAATCATTACAGTAAGGAATAAACAACCTTACATTAAAATACATATCAATGAATCAATACATAAGAAAATATATATCATGATAAATAAATAAGTCAACAGAGAAGTCATATCTGCAGGACATGGTAACACTGGTTGGAGACAGTACGCCGAGGGGGTAAGGGGGAGGGGGTGGTAAGGGAGAATTTCAAAACGTTACCGGTTAGCCGTTATACATAAGAATAGATGAAATTAAGTAAAGCATCATATACCAACATAAGTACAAAACCCTTGCCTCTGTGGTATACATCTCACAGTTCTAGAATATAAATTACTAACATGACAAGAGGACAATACAATGAACCGTAATGAAATTGATATATCACAGTATACATGCTCGCCATACATTAAAAAATGCCCACCTGCGAATTTCGTCTTGCAGGTGACGTATGAAATTTCCTGGTGGTCCTTTCGGCATTTTTTATCTCTTTGTAGGTTGTCTTCGATTTCTGATTGGGTTGTTTTGTCCTTTCTCTCGTAGTTGTTTCAGGCCCTCAGCTTATTCCAAATACGGCATATACAAATATTGTGCGGCACTGGCAGAGCTGCAGCTTGCATTTGGGGTGGATGTCACTTCTGCTCCTCTCTGCAAGCTTTTTCAGGCGTTGTTTTACCTGAAGCCTGCTCATGTGCCACCAAAGGCGTCCTGGTCGTTGGACCAGATGATCTCTTTTCTCTCTTTACCTCGGTTTGTGGTGTGGCCTTCTCGGTTTAGGACTGTTTTTCTAAGGCTCTTTTCTTGTTGGTATTGGCCTCTGAGGGTCGGGTCAAGGAGCTTCATGCTCTCCTCTGGCACAGGGGTTTCTGTTATTTTGGTCCTGGTGGTCGTTTCGTTCGTTTGCAGCCGTCCCCTTTTCTGGTGAAGAATGAGTCTGCTGCTTTCCGAAGGGGTCCTTGGGTTGTTGATGCTCTGTTGGTTCGGCCGAAGGTGCATCATGTTTTGTGTCCGGTTGCGGCTCTTCGTCGTTTTTTCATGCCGCGGCCTCCGTAGCAGTGCACACGCTTTGGGAGGACCAGTTTCCCTTCTTCCCTGTTCCTTGGTGCGGGTCTCCCAGGTCGTCTGCAGGATTATTCGGTCCAGCCAGCCTGCGGTCTATCACCGTACCCATGACGTTCGTAAGTTTGTGACTTTGGCTTCTCTTTTTTGGTAATATGTCCTGGGCTGACACGAGGCTTTTGGAGGTCGAACAGGGTCCTGGACGCACGGTCCCTCGTTAATGGTCCTGTCCCTTCTCGGGTGTGTGTAGCCTTGGGTTGCAGGTTGCAGCCAGTTGTATCGACTTCGAGTTGAGGAGCAAGTAACAGCCGCCTCCCGGGTAAACCCCTTTTCTTCTTTACCTTTGGTTAGGTAGCTCCTGGGAGCCGAAGGGGCTCTCCACAGAAAGCAAGTGTTGAATGTAATGAAACACCATTTTCTGAGTGAGACTCAGAGACTTCCCTGCATCCCTCCGTCCCTCCGGTCTTTTTTTTTTTTTGCATTATTGATATTCAGTTTCTAAACTGAGGAGAGTTGCCATCGTGGAGTCTAGAACCCCCCGACCCCTTCCCGGGAAAGAGGGAGGGGGGGGTGCGCAGATGGATGCACAGCAGTTGTGGTGACGTCTATATTTGTTTCCTTGTTTTTGATTGGGGAGTTCTGTTTGCTATAGTTCGGCTTTCGGTTTGCAATTTTTGACCAGCCGCAATTTGTTTTGGAACTCCTACCTCTCTGGGTACCTGACCTGGTACATGGCAGACAAAGACTGCTTCTAATTACACCGGGGTGTCTTTAGGTCATTGCCTCTCGTGTCTCTTCTTTAAGGGGCAGGATTCTGGCTCTAGTCCCCAGTAGGCCTAGAACTCCATCGATTGATTGTTGCCACGGTCTAATATATACACATCAACCCGGTTTAGCTCTGGGGAGCCTTCGGGCAAATTTATCTACCTTATTAATTGATTCTATAGACCGTAGATCCACCAGAGCGTAGAGGCATCGAGTAGTTCCTCACAGGTTCAAGAGGTCAAAGTCGACTTCCTTGCTGGTGAGCGTATCTCTCCACAGCACCGTCAGTTCATACACTCATCACCAAGTGCTGCTCCTTTACCAGGTGTTCCTCTCTGGATGTTAGGTTGATACTGATATTACCTGGCCTACCCAGACAAATGCACTTCCGTATACTGATCCACCGCCTCTCACGTAGCTGCGTCATATGGACAAACGGTTGTTGAACTGCACAGGACCAGGACTGCTACCAATACTTCTTCATACAGCTCCACGTCGTGCACGGCCCACAGGTTGTCCTAGAACCCCCTAGCGCCGCTCCTCGAAGTACCCAGGTTCGTCATCGTTACCAAGACTGCTGTTAATCTTCACCATCCAGCTTTTCCTTAATACTCCCTCAGAAGTTGACAGGCCACCCTCTTCGTTAACGCACGGTTGCTGATAGAATTCTACCTCACTAGAGGCCTATACCTCTTCAGAACGGATAATCGCTTGAGCTCATCTCCGATCAGCAGGAACCTTGGTAGGGAGTGACTTGATTTCCCGCATTCCTCCGCTGGATGCCTGACGTCACGCTACGTCACACCCGGGGGCACTACGTCATTGGTCAACCTGGCCCAGCCCTTGCCGCCTACCAATCATGCCACACCTGGCCTTGTACCCAGCAATTCCCTGTACGCTTGGAGGCGAGTTCTCGCCTCCGAGCGTGATCTCCCCTCCCGATCCGCTCCCACCGCCATCTTAATATGGAGGAGACGTCTCATAGCCTCATCCCAATTAAACTAAAATTGATGTTCGCCGCATCTTCCATCCTTTCAAGTATCACAAATCAACTAAAACTTCTAGATATGTACAGATAGGGAAATATGACTCTTATATGCGGTAATAGTGGAATTCAGGCTGAACTCCGTAACATAGGTTAGTAAATTTTCATCACGCATTAGTTCAAGTATTCTCTTTTGTCATATCTAATGAAACATCCTTATTATTATCTATTACTGGTCTAGCAAAGGCTGCCAAGATGTAATGGTACCCATAGAAATTTCATTTCAAATTTACTTTCTTTATCAGCTTAAACATTTATTTGAATATCACTGACAATTGTATTGATGTTACTACTATGGTCATTCAATACCAGGAGTGCTCTCTGCGAGCCACAGTATACAATTCCACTTCCATGGTCATTTAAATATTTATTGGCAAGGTGTATTCCTTGCAAGATCGGTTTGAGTCATACTAGCCCGCACAGTCTCCGTGGTGTAGTAGTAAGACACTCGCCTGGCGTTCCGCGAGCGCTTTGTCATGGGTTCGTATCCTGGCCGGGGAGGATTTACTGGGCGCAATTCCTTAACTGTAGTCTCTGTTTAACGCAACAGTAAAATGTGTACTTCGTTGTAACAACGATTCTTTGCGGCGGGGATCGTATTTCAAGGACCTGCCAGAAACGCTACGCGTATTAGTGGCTTTACAAGAATGTAATGTAACACATTGACACGCTTAATTGCTGTATGTATGAAAGAAGATGGTTTAAATATATTATATGCACATCCGGTACATCTTCCACCTTCTTCTACTGAACCGTCGGTATAGCACTGATACATATCGTTAACCATAACCTGAGCACTCTCAGTGACGCTTCTCAGTGTAAACTTTTATAATTATGTGGAATGTAAACTATCTTTCTTGGGTATATGTGCGGAATTATCTGATAGATCCCATGTATGCCGTGGATTAATTGGTTGATTAATCATTAATTGAGTTGGGTACGTATTTAATATTTTGATGGAGTTGGCTACCCTGTAAAACCAAATTTCGTAAACATATGTCCCTCTTCTACTATAAACCTCAGGCGAATGTAGCATATTAGAAACTTTACAGTGAAATTTGTTATACTTCCGAGATCTACTCAATACCGTCACGCCGAAAACTGTGCCAAAAGACAGAATTCTCTCAATTATGGTACGTAATTTTTAACTCATCTCTCATATTAGCTATTCTCGTGGAATTTGGAGGCCAAAAAATTATTCTCATACCTTCATTTAGCAAAGTCTCAAAGGATTTTTATACCTATATCTCTATATAATGTGAGATGTAGAGCTTTGTAGTGAATCACAGAGCGGATAAATGATGTATAGAACATTCTAGCAAGATAAACAATAATAATAATAATAATACCACTCCACCATTGATTGTTTTTAAGTGGTGGTGGTGGAATGGTATTAGAACTCTATTGCCAGTTGGACGAACCCTGGTTGTCCAGTTTGAATCCTTGAGTGGTTATAGAGTTTATAGTGCTATAGGAATTAAAACTTTTGACACATACGGTCATTTATGTCCCAGTCCTTTCTGATTTTTAAACTTCAAGTATACTTAAATAAGTTGTACTGGATTAAAATAATGTCTCAATGTGAGGGGCTGTAATTTGAGAAGTGTATCTCTGTGTGGATGTACCAGTGACTGAGAGAGATGTACATAATACCATGATGCTGAACTAATACTGGTGTCCCCATGACAGAGCTGGTGCCAAGGAAGGGAGACTTACATGTACAGTGCTGCAACGGACAGCTCTCCAGAGCCATCCCCTTCACTCTCAAGATGTTTGTCTGGCAACACATTTCCGTCTCTCTCAACCTGGAGACCGGCATCTTGCACGTTATATATGATAATATGGTATTCTGTCCTACTATACTGATTTTGTATATAATAATAATTATTTCCGATTCTTCACCTCTTTCATTTTCTGATTGTTTTACTATTTTTTGTTTTATCTACCCTGTATGGTTCTTTTTCTTGGCATCATTATTTTAACAATAAATGTTGTTATTACTGAATATTGCAAAATACTTTGGTGAAGAGCAGACATCATTGTAGATAATGTTCCGCCTATTAGAACATCATCAGCTCTTGACTTTATAAAGTTTTGAGCAAGAGTTATATGTTATTTTTATTGGTTTCAGGTGGTAGGTCATATACAATATTCAGAAAGAAAACTAAGAAATTGCTAATGCAGTTTTTCGTCTTTTTAATATACAGTTTTGGCAAGTACAAAATATATTATACTCGACTGATAAGATTACCAGTGTGTCTGTGTGGATCCGGTAGCCAGGTCTCCCCCCACACACCCTCTCATATCCCTTGTCTTCCCCTATAAACACCCTCCACATGTCGCCCCACACACCCTCCACATGTCGCCTCACACACCCTCCACATGTCGCCCCACACACCCTCCACATGTCGCCCCACACACCCTCCACATGCCGCCCCACACACCCTCCACATGTCGCCCCACACACCCTCCACATGTCGCCCACACACCCTCCACATGTCGCCCCACACACCCTCCACATGTCGCCCCACACACCCTCCACATGTCGCCCCACACACCCTCCACATGTCGCCCACACACCCTCCACATGTCGCCTCACACACCCTCCACATGTCGCCCCACACACCCTCCACATGTCGCCTCACACACCCTCCACATGTCGCCCCACACACCCTCCACATGTCGCCCCACACACCCTCCACATGTCGCCCCACACACCCTCCACATGTCGCCCCACACACCCTCCACATGTCGCCTCACACACCCTCCACATGTCGCCCACACACCCTCCACATGTCGCCCCACACACCCTCCACATGTCGCCCCACACACCCTCCACATGTCGCCTCACACACCCTCCACATGCTCTCCCACATACACTTCCAATCTCCTCTCAGCACACACTTTCCTTTTCCCATCTTCTCCTTCCCACCACACACAGCCTTTTCCCTTTCCCTTCCCCCTAATATCTCCTTCCTTCCAGCACACACGGGACATTTTCTCATCTTCCTCATAACACAGATCATTCCCCAGACTCCTCCTTCTCAGTACACACGAGTCCTTCTCTTATCTCTTTCCCAGTACACACACACACACACACACACACACACACACACACACACACACACACACACACACACACACACACACACACACACACACACACACACACACACACACACACACACACACACACACACACACACACACACACACACACACACACACACACACACACACACACACACACACACACACACACACACACACACACACACACACACACACACACACACACACACACACACACACACACACACACACACACACACACACACACACACACACACACACACACACACACACACACACACACACACACACACACACACACACACACACACACACACACACACACACACACACACACACACACACACACACACACACACACACACACACACACACACACACACACACACACACACACACACACACACACACACACACACATACACACGGCCTGCGTCCATCTCCTCCCTTCCTGCATACACACACAACTCTCCCCCATCTCCTTCCTCCCAGCACCCACACACACACACACACACACACACACACACACACACACACACACACACACACACACACAATAGTAACAGGAATTGATAAAATCGACAGGGAAGGATTCCTGAGACCTGGCACTTCAAGAACAAGAGGTCATAGATTTAAACTAGCTAAACACAGATGCCGAAAATATAAGAAAATTCACCTTCGCAAATAGAGTGGTAGACGGTTGGAACAAGTTAAGTGAGAAGGTGGTGGAGGCCAAGACCGTCAGTAGTTTCAAAGCGTTATATGACAAAGAGTGCTGGGAAGACGGGACACCACGAGCGTAGCTCTCATCCTGTAACACACTTAGGTACACACACTTAGGTAATTACACACACACACACACACACACACACACACACACACACAGTACCCCATAAAAGGTTGATGCATAAGCTGGAGAAACAGGCAGGAGTAACTGGTAGGGCGCTCCATTGGATAAGGGAGTACCTAAACAATATGAAGTAGAGTTACAGTGAGGGGTGAGACCTCAGACTGGCGTGAAGTCACCAGTGGAGTCCCACAGGGCTCTGTACTTGGACCTATCCTGTTTCTGATATACGTAAATGATCTGCCAGAGGGTATAGACTCATTCCCCTCAATGTTTGCTGACGACGCCAAAATTATGAGAAGGATTAAGACAGAGGAGGACAGCTTGAGGCTTCAAGAAGACCTGGACAAGCTGCAGGAATGGTCGAACAAATGGCTGTTAGAGTTTTATCCAAGCAAATGTAATGTAATGAAGATAGGGGTAGGAAGCAGGAGACCAGATACAAGGTATCACTTGGGAGATGAAATACTTCAAGAGTCCGAGAGAGAGAAAGACCTGGGGGTTGATATCACGCCAGACCTGTCCCCTGAAGCTCATATCAAGAGGATAACAGCAGCAGCATATGCCAGGTTGGCTAACATAAGAACGTCCTTTAGAAACCTGTGTAAGGAATCTTTCAGAACATTATATACCACATATGTCAGACCAATCCTGGAGTATGCGGCTCCAGCATGGAGTCCATATCTAGTCAAGCATAAGACTAAACTGGAAAAGGTTCAAAGGTTTGCCGCCAGACTAGTACCCGAGCTGAGAGGTATGAGCTACGAGGAGAGACTACGGGAATTAAACCTCACTTCGTTGGAAGACAGAAGAGTTAGGGGGGACATGATCACCACATTCAAGATCCTCAAGGGAATCGACAGGGTTGATAAAGACAGGCTGTTTAACACAAGGGGCACACGCACTAGGGGACACAGGTGGAAACTGAGTGCCCAAATGAGCGACAGAGATATTAGAAAGAACTTTTTTAGGGTCAGAGTGGTTGACAAATGGAATGCATTAGGAAGTGATGTGGTGGAGGCTGACTCCATACACAGTTTCAAGTGTAGATATGATAGAGCCCAATAGGCTCAGGAACCTGTACACCTGTTGATTGACAGTTGAGAGGCGGGACCAAAGAGCCAGAGCTCAATCCCCGCAAGCACAACTAGGTGAGTACACACACACACACACACACACACACTCCTGTCCTCCCGCCCCTTTCACCCCATACCCTCCCTGTCCCTCCCCCTTCACTTGACCCCCCCCCCCACCCCTCATCCCAGTAACCTTTGCAACCCTGGTATCCACCTCACAAATCCTCACACCCATGGCACAGCTTCCTTCACCACCAGAACACTCACCAAGGAGGAGATTTGAGAAGGGACAGAAGAAAGTGAGCCTCAAGGCAATGTACACTAACATAGATGGAATTACAAATAAAGCAAATGAATATGGAGAATGGGTACTAGAGGAAAACGCAGACATAATAGCTCTCACAGAAACAAAGCTGACGAAAACCATAACAAATGCAGTGTTCCCACAGGACTATTATGATATGAGGAAAGTGAGAGAAGGAAGAGGTGGTGGTGGTGTAGCCCTGCTGGTAAGAAAAGGCTGGGATTTTGAGGAGTTGGTTGTTCAGGGATGTGAAGGTTTCAGTGATTGCATAATAGGTACAATAACAACTGGAGGGCAAAAAATTATAGTCGTAGTCGTATATAATCCACCACCAAATGACAGAAGACCTAGACAGGAATATGAAAGAAACAATATGGCCACCATTAACATAATAGAGAGAGCAGCTTCTGTTGCTAGCAGGAATGGATCTGGACTAATAATCATGAGAGACTTCAACCATGGAAAGATAGATTGGGAGAAAAGAGACCCGCATGGAGGACCAGAAATATGGAGAGCTAAGCTGCTGGACGTGGCAACAAGAAACTTTCTAAGCCAGCACATCAAGGAACCAACAAGAATGAGAGGAGAAGATGAACCAGCAATGCTTGATCTGATATTTACCCTAAATAAGTGGGATATAAGGGAAGTCAAGATGGAAGCACCCTTAGGAATAAGTGATCACAGTGTATTGAACTTTGAGTACCTGGTAGAGCTAGGAATTATCCCCTTCCCCCCTCCCCCCCCCGAAAAAGAACTAGGAAACAAAAGACTGGCATACCGAAAGGGAAATTATGAGATGAGAAGCTTCCTAAGGGAAATACCTTTGGACACAGACCTCAGAGCTAAGTCTGTACAAGATATGATGGACTATGTCACCCAAAAGTGTCAGGAGGCAATAAGCAGATACATCCCGGTCCAAAAGGAAAAATCCGAAAAGCAAAAGAAGAATCCATGGTATAATAGGGCATGTATGGAAACAAAGAAAATGAACAAAAGGGCGTGGAGGAACTTCCGGAATAACAGAACACCAGAAAGCAGAGAGAGATACCAGAGAACCAGGAATGAGTATGTCAGGGGGTGAAGAGAAGCAGAGAAAAGTTATGAAAATGATACAGCAAACAAAGCCACGACCGAACCAAAGCTACTCCACAGTCACATCAGAAGCAAAACAACAGTGAAAGAACAGGTATTGAAACTTAGAACTGGCGAGGACAGGTATACAGAGAATTACAAAGAGGTGTGTGAAGAACTCAACAAGAGGTTCCAGGAGCTCTTCACAACAGAACAGGGTGAGATCACTGTGCTAGGAGAAAGGGAAGTAAACCAGGCGGTCTTGGAAGAGTTCGAAATTACGAGATAGGAGGTCAAGAGACACCTGCTGGATCTGGATTTTAGAAAGGCTGTTGGTCCAGACGGGACCTCGCCATGGGTACTGAAAGAGTGTGCAGAGGCACTTTGCTTGCCATTCTCCATAGTGTATAGTAGGTCACTGCAGGCGGGAGACCTACCAGAAATATGGAAGAC